GGAAAGCGATTCGAAAAACAATGTTTTCCGTGCCAGGCCGACGACAACAATAAGTCTAGCATCGGGCCAGTGCTTAGTTCCACATGATCGCTTTCTTCCTTCTCAGTAAAATACTCTCATGGTATTTCAGTGCACATGCAGTATTTTCAATGCCCCATCATATTTCACCGTAATTGTTTCTTTGGAAGCCATGCAGTCTCACTAGCCACGTAGCTCGCTTCTACGTGGAAATTGCATGGAATGCGTATATCTCGCTACAAGTGGACATTACGTGGAATGCATGTAGCTCGCTAAAGCATTGACATTGCGTGGCGCTCGTGTATAGCATATACCATATATAATATATCATATATCATATACCATATACCAGGATATATCATATATCATATATCAAATATCAATAACTCGCTACCGCGTGAATATATATTGCGTAAAGCGTACAGCTCGCTAGTGCGTGGACATTGCGTAGAGCGCAAGTAGTTGGCTGCTGCGTGGAAATAGCATGGAGCGCTTTTAGCAAGCTACTACGTGGACATTGCGTGAGGACCTGTGAGACTGGTCATGCGTGAGATTGCACGCAGCTTCATTTCGCGCTAACGGAACAGCCCACATGCATATTGATACCACAGCCCAGGGTGTAAAAAGTATGGGCCGATAGCCCGCAACTACACGGCATTGTTGTTCAAAGTTCAGTTCGAGGGGTCACTTCGATACCAACGCCTCAGACAATTGAATTAGATGAAGATAGAGGCAGCAGCGTGGAATTAGAGCCATTGAGAAGCAAGTGGTCATCTTTAGGTTCATCAGACGGCTTGACATCGTTCGGCTTTGTAGTGCGAGACGTTTTGGTATTCGTTCCGTTTCTTAATAGCCTGCAGAGATTTCTAAATATATAAAGGAAGCTAGACCGCGTATGTTGAGACCTTTAAACGTGTACTACAATAGCATCTGAAGATGGAGATCCTTCTGCTCTCGAGCGTGAAATGAACTCTACACCGACCTGACCTTTCATTAAAGAAGAAGTTTTTCGTCCTCGCAATTATTCCGTCGTGTGTCGAATAAAACTTTGCGACTGCAATACATGGAATGATTTCTATAGTATGATTGGCCCGCTCACTTATAAACGTGACCGACAGTTAACTACAAATTTTCTTCTTCATTACAGATCGGCTCTAATGATAGAACTCGAACTCAATGCCCTCAATGCCCAGTGCCTGGGATGAGAACTTTTAAGCTCACCGATTTTACTGCTGATCATCATAAAGTAAATATACCGGTTTAGTCAGGTTCCTGATTGGGCATCTGTTTTGACCTTAATTATACGGCAAGAAGAAGGCCGAGATGCGCATGAACAAGCAACTTTATGAGCTACCGTTGCAGGGTGACGAGAAGGAAAAATTCTTTTAAAGGAGTTGGCTACCAAAATTTCAGGTATCTTGACAATAACAAATATTCTTTGGTGCCCATACGCTATACATTTTATGCGCTACAGTCGCTTACAAATCATGAATAATAAAATACATCATAATAGACATGAATAATGGATGGACGCGCTAGCCTGCGACGGCGACTTTGATTCCAGCTTATCGTGCTTGATAGCGAAGCTCACCTTATAATTTATGGAGAAAAAGTGGCGACTAAAGTGATACTGTCGACTGTTGTGATACTGTCGACTGTTGTGATACTTGCGACTGCCGTGATACTTGCGACTGTTGTGATACTGTCGACTGATGTGATACTGTCGACTGATGTGATACTGTCGACTGATGTGATACTGGCGACTGTTGTGATACTTGCGACTGTTGTGATACTTGCGACTGTTGTGATACTTGCGACTGTTGTGATACTTGCGACTGCTGTGATACTTGCGACTGATGTGATACTTGCGACTGTTGTGATACTTGCGACTGTTGTGATACTTGCGACTGTTGTGATACTTGCGACTGTTGTGATACTTGCGACTGTTGCGATACTTGCGACTGTTGTGATACTTGCGACTGTTGTGATACTTGCGACAGTTGTGATACTTGCGACTGTTGTGATACTTGCGACTGTCGTGATACTTGCGACTGCTGTGAAACAACTGTATACTTTTGTACACTTTACGCCTGAAATAATTTTTTTTCAATTTCCAGCGTAGATCTGAATCCCACAGTTGTCACCCATGCGATAGCTTACAATGGCAATTGCTCTGTATTGAATATTGAAGGCTAAGCTGCGAAAGAAAGATCATTTGTACGTCCAGTTTTGTTGTGAGCGATCCAGTGCTGGACGATTACCCTGCGGGCCAAATTATTGGTATTTCTGGCTAGGAAATTACTTGCATCTGTTGGAGGATGCTGCGCCCTTCAGTTATTTATTCTATTTAACTCTCATCAATGCTTTCTGATTCTTTGAAATGTCATGATATATGAAGTTAAATTTATGTGTTATAATTAAATGTCAGTTGTAGTGTCCTTTTCTAAATCTTTATTTCGATAAATGCAGTCAGCATTTCTATTTCATGTCATGAATCAGCCATTTCCTGATTAACATTCAATTGCATTTTCGATTTGTCATTCCCCACCTTTCACTTCCTAAAAAAATACATTTTGTGGCACATAAACGGATAAAAATTTTGTATGTTAACTGCAATGTGGAAACAAATAAAACAAGCAAGCTGTACATTTTGAAGAATATTTTTCATTACATTTTTGATAGGCGATCTATTACAATCTGCAGCATATGGAGCTGTGATGTGCAGGAAACTTAGTGAACTTAAAAAAATGAGTGTGACTTTATCCAAATATGTCTTTTTTCCCTCCCTCACCAAGTTTTACCCTGGAAAGGGCGTATCAGTGCTACGTGCCGAAAGTGTGTCACTATTTCAAAAACATGACTCATTAATTTTTTGAGTGTAGCCATATATGAGTTGTGCCCGGCGCCGTTATAATCGTAGAGGGCAACCCACACACGTGCTCCAGTCTGCCGGGTTTTCTTTTGTTCCAAATACCAGCACCAGAAAAAGACCAGCTCACCAAACTACTTTTTTCAATATTGCCTTCCCGAGGCAATAAATGAGCTACGAGCCTTTAATGATAATGGCCCAGGCCAGAAAGCTGTTCTATGTTGCTTTTTTTAAAAAAGAATTTACAGACCGGCTCGGTCCTCGGATTTTGCTTGATAGCTTCACCCGGACTCTGCGGACTCTCTAACTTGCGTGCATTGTGTTTTGGGATGAAGAATTGTGAAGGAGTTAAGAGATTATCAATGATCAATGAGTATTTCCAAATAATGACTTGTACTTTAACGTGCGAATGTTTTCCAAGAGAAATTTTTTCTGTTGAATGTCGGAAATGCTTTTTGTAATGTGAGAATCTAGGTTTAAATAACTCACATCGACATCGAATCGAAAAGGAATAATATGCAGGTAACAATCCTACTATGAACACAGTGGTTAAGGTAAATAAATTGATCAACTGGGCATTTTTAAAAGTATAATTGTGCTCTAGCCTACAGTTGCGATAGACAAGCTTATCTATAAATCTTTGACTCATTTTCGCATTCATGTTTGTTAGAGGAGTAAGCCAAATTTTTCTTTTTGAATCTGAGCCTCTTTCCGGCAATCATTCAATTTTGCGATGAAAATTTCACATTTTGTTAATAAACTCCGATTCACTGCACACGTATTACAATTTTGGATTTATTTATTGAATCAATCTTTTTCCTGTATAGGGGTTAAGCTCTGATAAAAAAAATTGTAAAATCTATTGTAACATTTTCATTCGTGAACATTAGACTCCATTTTGGATAGGAAACGGTATTTCGCCAAATCACATATAAGTTCACGATATGTGAAGAAACAAAGTATTGTTTGCTTGGCTGCTCTTTTATAAAATTTTGAAAATTATGAGTATAATGTGCGTCGCCTGCGCAAAAATTTTAATTTGAACCGTTTTCCCGAAACGCAACGCTAATCCAAGTAATGAATCTCAGGGAACTAAAACTTGTTACTAACAGGATAAGAAAACAGCAAGTGATGTAATATTTTAATAAAAAATATTGCATTTGTACACGACGAAAACGCCGGAGACCACACAAAACTTCTAGTAATTACCAGACAATAAACATAAAATTAATGCACCTGTGACAGCCGAACTCAAATTCGTCAATAATTGATATGTCCGAGTTCATTGTACATTAGTTGGTAGAATCAAAACACAATATTTTGCGTGAGACCTATACTTTTTCTTCCTGATGGATATACGAGACTTCGGCATCAGAGACTGCAGCGTTCTGTAGCATTTTTGAACCTAAAACATTACTTATCCACCAAGTTGAGAAAGTCGTCGATAGTCACTTTTTAGTCACTTGGTAACTTTTGATAGCTCCGAGAATCAGTTCACCACAGGATCTGTATCAGGGAACGAGTAAATCAGTTGTAAAACCCAACCTCTCCCTAACCTCTATGAATTTTGTTTTTATTCTTATTTAATTTTGCAAGTAAACTTTTACCAGAAAAAGGAGGGAAAGGCACGGAGTCCTGCCCAAGCGTCACAACTTAACCCCCACACCCTGACCCGATGCGCAGGGGCGCTCCGCAGTGATGTATCAGATGACACACTTATTAGAATGGCTATGAAAAACTAACAAATTGCATCAGAATGCCAAACATTTAACGGTTTAACATGATTTTCTGTCAACATTTCTCACTAAAATAAAAAAAAATTAACAAAATTTTGCCAGAGAATTTAACACCAAAGTTTGCATGGATAATATTACCTTGAAACAATAAATGAGGAGATCTCTTGGAAAAGTTACTCAAAGACTTCGTAAATGATATCAAAGAACTAATTAACATCGTTTGATAGACTCAACACTTAGAAAATCATCAAATAGCATTAAAAAAATTCATTTCTTTGCCATAAAGTAAATTTAAATACATTTTGTTTTAAAGGAAAACACAGAATTGTTTTAAAGGAAAAAAATATAAACATATTTTCTATCAATCTATGGTGAGCAGTGCAGTTAAAAACATAACTCTTAATAAAAATATTGTCACTAATAAATTTATTTTATATATATTAATGATCTCCAATAGTCGATAACGCTGTAACACAATCAGCGCTTCGAAATAACGTTGGTATGATATCTTTTTGGTTATTACTGGCGACCCTTGAAGAAAAGTGGAACAATATTAAATATGAACAGTTCATGAACAGGCCAGAAAAAGAAGAAATTTGAGATCAGTAAAAAGTATTCAACCCAAGTTTTCACGAATATGAGACAGAAATTTTTATGAAAAATCGTAAATTTTGTCGTAAAGACAACTTGAAACTGCGTACAATAAAAATGATGCCGTCAGAACTTATGTTGGTGCCACCAAAAAGCTTATTTCAGCCACCATGAGTGATGCGTACTCTACGCTTAAGTGCTTTATCTAATAGTGGTGCAAATTTATGTGAAGAAATCGAAGTAACTCCCAGGAAATGAATGATGGTAGAAAACGAGGTCACAGATAATAAATGGAAATAAGGATAGAGGTTTAAATAATTCCATTTCAACGATGAATAAATAATTGTATAAATATATTTCACAAAATAAACATTATTTAGCTTTCTCATAACTGCAAAATGGCATGAAATTCTATAGTATCTTTACGTTAATGTTTGAATGAGAAATAAAAATTGTTTGAAGATTCCTCAAATATAAAAATATATTTCTTCACAAAATTGATATTATTGATGCCGCAAATTCAAGGAATGCCTGGTCGGCACTCTGCCGTGTAATGTCACGTTAACCCGAAATAATTTTCAACTTAACCTTATGTGAAACCATAGCGAATATATGATTTCATACTTTAAAATAAACGCTATTTCAGTCTCTTTATTTCACAGGACATGTTTTATTAGTTCAATCAACCCCAGCTATTCGAGTCGGTCACTGAACTACTAAAAAATATACTGCATTCGACCAAACTGCAATAATTTTAGCAATACCTGAAAATGAACATGCTTTTGGGGTTTCCTTAACACAAAATAAGTCTAGGTCTAAAGCGTCGGATTTTCTACCGGATTTGTAACTATGCAGCTATGAGGTTGCTAGAACTAGGAGAGCAATCACTGTCGTGACTGGCTATCACCTCCGACGCCGGTCTTATTGTCATTTCAAATGAAACTGAGGTATTCCCTAACCCATTAACCTGAGCTTCGTCATTGACAGATTCTTCCTTTGAATAAGTTGCAGTTGAGTCAGGACGTTGATCTTCCTTGTCTGAATCAGAAGTGCCGTCTTCAACCACGTCCACAATTTCATCAATGGCCTCGTCAACGTCTGATGGTTCCATGTCTTCGGTGGACTTCGGTGACATCGCTAGAGCTCCGCTTGCTAGAAACTTGTGCAAAGAGTTTAAATTATTTGACCTTTTAATAGCTTCTCCGATCGATGAATACTCAAATTTCCGTGGGTAGTTGTCTAGGATGGTCGGGCACTCGTTTTGATGTTTTTTCAAATGTCGGTCAAGATTAGTCTGTTGGCCAAAAGCCCTGTTACATCGCGGACATGTGTAGGGTTTTTCTTTGTTGTGAATGTTACGCACGTGTCGCTGGAGATTCGATGATATTGAGAAAGATCGTGTGCAGTGTCGGCATTTGTAAGGCTGCTCACCCGTGTGGGTTCTCACGTGTCTCGTCAGGTTGGCTGAACGAGGAAAAACTTTGCCACAATACTTGCAGGTATAGCGGTCCTTGCTTTTAGAAGTGGTTTGGCATGGACTTGGAACTAAATGACTGTTCTCCCTGCGGTCTTTAATTGCTTCGTATAAAAACGAAGTTGAATTCTCTGAAAACGATTGCTTGAATGAATATGGGGTAGGTTGAACCGGTGGAATTGGAAATGGGTGGTAGGGGGAATTGTTTGCGAATTGGAAATTAACTGGTGATGGCAAAGGTGACGAGAAGTATGGGCTCCCGTTACCCATGCCTGGGTAGGTCACTTGCGGCATTCGTGGATAAAAGAATCGAGGATCAAAAATGAAAGGTAATGTTGTTGAGTCCACACTTTTGTTACCCTCTGAAGGAGTCGGTGAAGGAGATTTAGTATCCCGAGACGTCCTGTTATGGCAAGCTAAACTTTGCTGCATGGCTTCAAAAAATGTCATATTTGGATTCACGTCAACAGTCTCGACGAAGGGAACCGTCAGTTTCCTCTTCTCGCTATGATCAAATTTTATTTTCTTGCACTCTACCCGAAGGTCGAGAGGCTCGTCACTCTCGACGAGATATGGTGGACTATTTGGGCATTCACGTTTGAGGCTCGCCAACGTCTGGCACTGCAAGTAAGCGGGAGGCTCTGAGAGGGAACGTCTAGCGTCTTCCAGAGTGGAAACGCTGGTGTGAATCTCAGGACAGAGCGAGGCTGTTTTTGGCGATGGCAGCAAGTCGGGCAAAGGCCTTCTGTTGGTTGTGGCTGCTGGAGGGTCCATGGTCGGTGGCAGGAGTCCGAAGATCGCAAGTAGTTTAGACGAATTTGGAGTAAACCGCAAGTTCATTCCCCTTTGTTTCCCCGGAAGTTGGCTTCACGGCCTGTGAAAAAGTAATCATTAGTATGTAAACTTAATGCACAGCTTAATTTACTTTTAACTTCTATTGCCTTTATTTTAATATTATTGCTGCAGTGTCAATACTGTATCTTAATACGAAATTAAAACAACATCTATTGCTAAAAAAACAGTCAAGAATGAAAATTTCAGCAATATTTAAAGAATAAAATTAAAGAATTAAAGAAGAATATTAAAATAAAGAATGAAAGATCAGCAATAATTCATTCCCGCGTCATCGATGCTGGCAGCTTATTATTAAACTTTGATCGGCCGAAATGTCCGCAGCTGGAGCCCAGAACCATAACCGTAAGCTGTTCCATAAGGAAGACCGGAATTTATCGAGAGCCGAGAACAATTTATACGGCACTAATTCAGGGGTAGCAAACGGCACAAGAACTCGACGCGGTTGCTTTCAAAAAGAACTCATGCCCAGAAAATATAAAATTTGTATGAAAATTAATATAATGTCAAACAATATAAATTGAATTAGATGGTTTACAGGGCTTTTAGAGCTCCTTGATTCTATTAAACGACAGTAAAACGCTCCCCAAGAGCCAGGGCATACAAGTTTCTGATCGTTAAAGTTTTTTTTAGATACTGTCGATGCAAAACTTGGTCGACGAGCAAAAACTTGGAAAATATTCTCAGAGATTCAAAAGTTCAAGCAAGTCGCGTGTGAATCTTTTATTGCATTGAAACCAGTTCAAGTGACTAAAAATATACCACGCATTCCTATTTAGGCAGAACATGATCTTCTCGGCACAAATTAAACATTTGTTATGGTGGTTTCACTTAAATAACGAATGCGGGTTGATTAAATGATGCGAATCAATTAGAAATGCCACATTCAATAAAATTTAGTTTCCCACGTACTCAGTAAATTAAACATCAACCGAACAAGATCCCACACAGCCAATATTAAAAACATATTTTCGACCACGAGAATGATGCTGGATGTTACGAAACTTGAATCATTAAATATACGGCTTTTATTAATGTTCACTGTATAGAACTCGGACCAAAAGTTATCCCGCTCTCCCGTGAACTGATTTCTAAAGACTGAGGATTATGTCTCCTAAAGAAGCGACCTCTGAGCGGCGAAGACATATAATCATGTCGAGTTTCAATTAAAAGGCCTCCCTTTACGGTGTCATCTCATTACGCGGCCTTAAGATGTCGCTTCGCTATAGGCGCTACTTCGTGCGGGATTTCGTCCTCATAAGAGAAAAAGAGCATATAAAATTTATGGGTGTGACTGGCTAAAAAAGAGCTATAGAGCAACCAATATATTATTCAGCTGCTTATGTTGTATAATTTTCAATATCGTATATATCATTATATGATATGTATTTATTATTAATTTATACATAATAAAAAGCTGGTGATTGTGTTTCCAGACGTAATTCTGTGCATAAAATATGACTGCAGCACGGTTTAATTTCAACAAATTAATTATTTATTTCATTTAAATTTTTGTTTCAATATCGATACAAAATGACGACTGCAGTTTCATCAATATCAGAAGGAACCTTATTAACCTCAGTTCAGCGTCAATGTTTTCCACTGATAAATTTAAAATACATTCATTGGTTCCAAAATATTCATTCAAACTTCAATCTTGATATATTTTATCAGTACGCGAATAAAGTCACACATTCCACCAATTTCGTGTCACTGCAATGTCCTCCAGCCACTAACAATTATCCTGTAAATATTTTAAATCATCGTGCCCCAGTTTAGGCCTGTGCTACTAGACATGACGGTATTTGGTATTAAAAAAAGCGCCAGCGTTGGTCAAGCCATAGGCATGATAGAACAAATTTATTCCATGGATTGTAATTACTGGTTCCAGATCTTCCTTGCATGCCAGGTTACCATCGCGGATCTACGATACCCAGAAGCAGCCTTAACCGTAATCGTCCGTATCCGCAATCACCTAGACTGGTAATTATCACTGAAGAAAGAGGGCCACTGCTTAGCTAGACGTTGTAATCACCATCGTGCTGGACCACAGCGATAACTATGTAGATATCACAGCAAGAAGTAAGTGAAATTTAACATAGTGCTTCTTCATAAAATGAAGAATTATCTCTCAAGCAAATGGCGTGAAAATTGGAGGGTAGGACTTCACTTGCAGTCCTCGGGCCACTGGATGACCTACATTATCTTGTTACAAAAAAAGAAAGCCTTTTAATCGCAATTGCTATTGTGACAACTGCAATTTTATTCTGATGTCCTCAAATAATTTTCCAAATTCTAATTAATCGTCAAGAACTTACTGCTACCGGGCTGCAAATGGATGGTGTTTTGGCAGAGTATTTTCGACAATTGCTCTTTAAATCTAATTTGAGACGGCCCCATTTTTAAGCCCAGGAAAATTGTCGGTAAAGCCTAGAGAAAAAACGATCAACCATGGGGCGAATTAATGGAAAGTACACTTCCCTGATTTGAAGCAAAAGTGCTATGCCTTAATGCTGATTGATTTATTTTATGTACACAAATTCAGTGATTTCAGCATTCAGCATAATATGGATCATCTTTCTAGTCTTTAAGAAAATTGTTTAATCCTGAATCGTCAGTTTAAAATTTTTTCCTCAGATTATATAACACATTTTACAAATGCGAATTTTTGCACTTTTTGCAGCAACAAGACGATCGAAAACACACGTACCTCAACCTCCTTTAGAACACAACTTAATTGGACACCGAGCCTTGCCGCGCAGTGCATCTCTAGACGCTATTATTTGGCACCTAGAAATAAATTTTCAGCTTTCAAAATAGTAAACAAAAAGTTCATGACCAAGCAACTATGACATTGACTGGGCCGAAGCCGATGTTCGGCATCTTCATAAAAGAAAATGCTTTTTAGGCTCCCCTTTCACCACAATCTCCCAATTGACTTCTGGTCGGCAATCGGTAAACAGGCGCCGGGATAAGCACCCATTGACAGGTGATGCACGCAACCAATCAGCTTTGCCGCTGGCCGAACGGCAGAACTAAATGCGCTGCTGAGGAATGATTTACAGTAGTTTTTTACTCGACACAAACCACTGCGCCGTCTTCCAATTCTTCCAAACCTTCCAGAGGAATATAGAGTCCGAAGAAGCAGCACATGCTATGGAGGAAAATGCAACATGCCGCCAATTCTGCTGGTTAGTAACGGTTGCGATCGTCAGAGTGTAAGTGCAGTGCTTGAACCCAAGGTACGAGATCGATATGAAGGCTTTCAACGGGCGTTCCGTCAGGTTTGCAAGTAATGACGCCCCACAAAAACGCTACACAAGACGGAGCTTCCTGATGGGGTCAGAGCAAAAAAAAATGTTCCTCTCAAGTGTTCGTTTGGTGCTCCACACGAGAGAATGTTTAGACATTAAAGTCTCTTAAAATTTGGTTAGACCCATCACCTGCTAATACAAATCCTCTAAAAAGTGAATCATAAAATCTTCTTCAGTTCTTGAATCGTTTCTGAATCTAAATCACCTTCTTGAACTCAGGCAGCTCATCATCTCTCAATGAGAGCAGAGTCTTTAAACCGAAACAAAAAAAGTTTTGCACTCCTATCGAAACGCTTCGAATTCCGATGCGCAGAGGTGGCTTTGGAGCCGATATCATCCGTTGTGTCTCGAGATGCACCTGGAACATATGATTTGAATAGCAGTTTTAGGAGCACCGGGACAAATTCTGAAATTTGCTCCAGTAGAGATTGACATTTATGTGACTTATTCAGAACTTTCTGCCAGCCGAGACTGGCAGCATTGTCAGTGATTCCGAACTTTGTGCCTGCAAAGATCGGCATTAATGTGACGTTTCAAAACTTTGTGCCTGCATGGATTGGCGTTTATGTGACGTATTCCGAACTTTGGGTGAGCAGAGACGGGCACTAATATATCTTGTTTGAAATTATTCAGGATCAAAAATTGAGCTGGACAGTTATTAAAATATGTATGATATTGGTCGTCAATCGTCATGGATGGTATTTGTTCCACGAACAATTACGATCTGGAATTTGTTCCCCGAACATTTACAATCTAAAATTTGTCATGTAATGTTTTTCAGATAATTTGTCACGCTGTTATCGGCTGATCTGCCCATTCCTCGTTTCGTTATTGCGTGATGTGCAGATAGCAAGAGTTCTCTCCCTCATCTCGCGGAACTGCCACGCCCAAGCCTCAGGCTAAAGATGTTCAAGGTTGCGTCCTATAAAAAATCATTTGCGATTCCCGCTTGTTTTTATACTTTTATCTCACACTATATTAATTCTGTACAATTTTCATTTATTTTTATTTTTCTCCAAAAATTTCAAACAATTGCGAGATAAATTTCGAAGACAACATTTTCAGAGATCTGAAAACCACACATGAATGGAATTTGCTCCGAAATTCTGAAGTAATGAAGATATAACAAGAACCCTATTACTAGCTAATCAAATACGTGTGTAAACGTCTGTCGATGAGCTGGGTTAATACAAAGCTGATATTTCGCGAAATTCGCCAGTAATTTCACCTGCATTTCAGCTCAAAAGTTGAAGGTAAAGTTAATATCTACGGCTGTAGTAATGTCGGTTTACACGGGAAATGATATGCAAAAACTATAACCTCGTCCCTATATAATTTTCAAATCAATCTCTGCCAGTTTCGTGATCATATATGCCTAACTAACGTCAGATAAATCACGATTGTTTTTCCAGGCTACAGTGTCTAGAGGCAGGTTTTACTCTGCAAATCGCGTTTACATTATTGCATCTTTGGTACAAGGCGGTTCATCTCAACGCAACTGAGAAATCTTCTCATAAACGATCATGTCATACCGGGAATCTCCATACAGTTTCTGAAAATAAATCTAAACAAATTTGCTAAACATCCATAAGTTTTATAATACTCTCAAACGTACTAGTATCATAAAAGCTTACCATAAAGAATGCAAATAAATCGCTACATAACGCACCACAAGAACGGCCAAGAACTTATTCCTGACGCTGACATA